CTCAAACCAATTACGCCAATCCTTAGATTTCATGGTTCTTGTAATTAATCTTACTGTTCATGTTTGGTAAAGTACTTCTTTTTGTAATTAATCTCATAGTTTCTATTTAACCCGCCGTATTTTTTTTTTGGGTGTTAACTAGCTACTTCGCGGGAGCTTCTATAGTCGAACGACCTCATCTTTTACTTGTGGTAACTCGTATTCATCACAAGTAAAGTAGACCTCATTTTTAGCAAATTATTTTTCGAAAGGAAAATGAAAATTCTTGCATAGTAAAATTTGGTTATTATAAGTAACTTCATTGATTTTTTTGTATACCATATTTGGGGAAAATTATCTAAAAAGTCCTAAACCTATTTAGCGGCCATCAATTTAGTTTTAAAATTTTCAATTTTGCTAATGTAGTCCTAAACCTTCTGAAGATTTTCTAATATAGTCCATTCGGCTAATTTATGCTGGAAATCGCTAACTTGGCAGTTCAGTCATCTTCGGCCGTCTTATATGGTATGGCAGGCGGCTGACGTGGAGAATCTTAAATGAAACAACGTTGTTTTGCAATTTTTCTGAATTTTTCCTTTCCTTTCCTTTTATTTTATTTTTTCTTTTCCTTCACTGTTCATCTTCCCAGAAAGAGTCAGTGAGGGCCGCTTAGGCCTTGGTGGTGGTCGGCAAGGGCGAGGGCCTGCACGCCCTCGCTAGCCACAAGCGAGGCATTGCGACCCTCGCTGGCTTTTTCCAGGAACATGAATAGTGAAGGAAAAGGAAAAAAATAAAAAAAGAAAAGGATAAATAGGAAATATTCAAAAAAAATTGCAAAACGGCATTATTTTGACCAGAATCAGACAAGTCAAATCGCCGGCCTTGCCAAATAGGATGGCCGGCGATGACTGGACCGACCCTCAACGATTTCCAATATAAATTGACCGGATGGACTATATTGAACATTTTTAAAAGACTTAGGACTACATTGGACATCAAAAACAATACTATCGTTCTTTTCTAAGCCAAAACAATGGGACATCAAGTTCCCCACCCTCCCCTCTCATCTTTACTTTTTGCCTTTCAAGAAGAACAAAAGAAAGGAATCATCTTTTATCACCACCACTCACTCCTCATTTGCTTAAAGGTCACTTTACCAACACCGCCTTTATCACCCCAATAATTACAAAAGCCATCGCCCATCTCCAGTCCAAAAAGGGGCCCTAATCTCCTCCTCCTCGCACGTGCTCCCCTCTTTAATTTAATCCCACATTAACACCATAATCAACCCCCACACACATGCAGAGAAAGGGAAAGAGAGAGACAGATGGTGATGATGGTGATGAGCTGGTCCTGCTGCTGACTTCGAAAAGCGTAGTCGACCCCGTGAACGGCAAGTCACGGTGCAGCAGCGAGAGAGCGAGTAAAGACCGGGTCTTCATGTGAATGCGATGGTGATTTATATTACCTCTGAATTGTCCCGAGCGGTGTCGTTACGGAAGGATTTATCCTGAGAGGTCTTTAGATTTGCAGATGTTCATTACATTACATTACATTACAATATGGTTTTCGTCTTGGAATCTCCTTTTATATGCGAGGGGCTGTGCAGACATACACGAGGGAATTGGATTCCCAAGCTGTAATGGTGGGGGAGTGGAATTTTATGATTCTGCGATAAGGTTTTGCTTGCGCTTTCAGTGCTAAAATATTCTGATTCTTCTTTCCCGAGAGAGTTCTTGAGCGGGAAACAATGCACAAGGCCATCCTTTTGTCTTTGTTTCCTTTCGTTAGACCCACTATGCAATGCAAAGAAGAAGGAAAAGGATACGTATTTTTTTTTATCGGACCATATCGCTTTGCTGTCCTCCAACTAGTTTTTGGTCGGTGGATTACGAATATGGTCATCGCGCACATTAACGTTTCGATAAGTTTGTATGTAGGCGATATTGATAACTGGTAATCAGCAAATCAAATGCCTAATTGGGAAGGTAAGCGTATCCCCTTTTCTTGACTTCCAATAAGTGCTTTATATCTGTTGGAGATATCTTGATGTACATTTAGATGATTTGGATTGTTGGTTGGATATCTAGTAAAAACAAAATGGGAATAGTGATAATTCATTGACCAAACTGAGAGATCAGTAAAGAATGTCTACCCCATATAAGGGGGTAGGTAAAAATAAGCATGCAATTGGATGGAGTAGGTTGTTTTCACTTTTTCTCCTTTTAGCTTTTTTGGACTACAAATTTTGCACCTTTTTAAGGAGATACAGTAAACATCAACCATTCGTTTTGACTTGGCCAAAAGTCATAGAAAGCCTGAAATTTGCACTTCTATACAAAATATCCTCAACTTGGAAGCCCTTGAGGAGAAATTCAATATTACTTTTATCAACCACCAAGGTGGTTCGTTAAGGGGTAAAGAGGGTACCTATGAACGATCTGTGCTATATTGCCTAACCATAACATGCATGTTTTGTGCTGAAAGACTTTTTAACTGCTAGTATCTTAGTGAGACTGCGGTGATAGGCTCGCCAATCTTGGACTTTTAGGATGGAGGGTTGCGCGGAATAAGGATACGTCAAACCAAGTATTTCGTAATGAATATATTATCGATATGAAAAAGCTTAGAGGGAGTCGCTTCTCCACACCCTTTTACTAATCGAAGTTACTTTTATTATGTCACACTAATCATCCTTTAGTCTACTAATAATGATCGTTCGGTGGTACTTACATGGTGATTGACGCGACCAATTATTACTTTCATTACTATTTTCATCATTTAATATTATGAATTAGAAAGGAAAAACTTAACGATGATACAAAATTGAAAATAACAATCAATTGAAATTAGATAATAAAAAAAAACACACCGATACACACAAGGAGATGGTTTGGATCGATAGTCCCACTGCTTGTAGATGGGCCTAGCCAAGGCTGGCATAGGCCACGCCGCCTTTGGGGTGGACGAGGGTTGCGCAGCACTTTGCTATCACTATGGAAAGGCCTTGTAGCCTTCGTCGTGGTGGAGTGAGAGTTCGAGCTATTAGATGATGTAAATACTAAATTATGTATTCGTCTAACGGTTTAACTTTTTAGAGCACCTAGTAGTGATCCCACAGAATTTTACATAACATCAGAGTACAAGTGCCGGAAATCACATCTTTCGAAGTTCCTTATTTGCCTTCCACCTTGTATTTCCACGCTCTACGCTTAGTTTTGATCAGGTACCTTATCCGTCTTCTAAACACGACCGTCAAGTTATTGATTTTTTTATGCTTGTCAAGACCTTTATGATTATCAACTGAAGATACTTCAAAGTAGAGAATTTCAAAAAAGAAAAACTCCTTTTCAACGATGTCATGCCGGATTTCCTCGTATCGGCATACATAGCACGATACGATGACTCCTTTTTAAGTCTAAACACTCGGGTGGTTTATGGGCCAACTAGCGACAGAAACTCTTTGCAAATTGCCCATAAGAGTGGCTGAAACATCTCCTATAACTTGTCCTCGGACAGCGTCATTTGCAGATTGTGTTCTTGACACGAGGCATAGACCACCCCATTGCTGGCCTCGATACGTTATCTTCGCCACATGGAACGGCCAAATTTTCAGACTTCACATTCATGGATTAACTTGTGACTTTGACCGAACGCTCGAGACGATCGAAGAGGGTCCTACGTCTCTGGCAGCAAAAACAGAAACCTGAAGTTAAGGTCACATGGCCCATGCCGTAATACCTTGAAATGGCGGACGAACTACAAAGAAAGCACTTGCTTCTTCGTGCGGGAAAAGCTCCTAAAAGCTGCTTCCATTGGCCAGTCAACATGCACTGCGAAGTGTGTAGCTGGCAAATCATTAAAGAAAGGAGGGTAAGACCATAATCATTTAGTAAGATCCACACCGACCAAATATGGTCCACCGTGCATCATGCACGTACACAATTTTGTGTGGTCCAAATAGTACGTTTACAGCAACTTTCCCTACAAGGAACTCAAAGTTAGGTCGGGCCGATGAACTCCAAACCTGCGAAATATTTATTCACCCGATGAATAAGATATTAAAGCATTAGTCGAAACTCGGATCAATGCTATGTTGATTGTATGATATTTTTAGTGAAGCATTGCTAATATGTCTACTAAGCTGTTTCTTTAGAAAATTCCTAATCCAATGGCTATTCGATCTTTTTTCCCTCATTCAGCTTTGAGAATTGAATTTTAGATCTCTTAGATTTAAAACTCCCTTGTTTACCATCTACAATTAATGGGGCTTTTGTATATGGTTCGAATTGATGTCATTCAGCTTTTGAGGAGATCGGGAAAATTCGACATCAATATTGTCCAAGGAGCATCAATTGCGATTTGAGGCCAATGGTGAAGATCTTGAAATTGTACGAGATTTTGGTGTAGGTACGCACCAGTAAGACTGTAAGAGTACATGTCTTAATCCCAAATAGCCAAATTCTAGGACATGTCAGTTCTAGGTGGACCAAGTCTACCTCAGAACACTGTAACTAGGTGACATGAAGCTCCACATATTATAGAGTTGAGCCTGCAAACTGCACGGACGTGGTAGAGACGTTGTATAAAATAATAATTTGTATATCGTCTTTATAATGCGCATCAAATATATTCCATTAAGTAAGATTTGAAATGTCTAAAAATGTCCACATGTTTATTCTAGAGTAGATAGATTCACTATTTATGAGGATATATAGGATTGAAATAAATTTAAATCAAGTTTTTACAAGTAAACTAAATGTTCATAGAGTTAAATTGACCACAGTGCTCGTAATAAGGGAGTTATTCAATTTTTTTAATAGAGTAAATGATTCAGTGAACTTTTAATTTTGTAACTCACTACCCCAAAAGCAAGTTTCACATGATTTTTTTTTTGGAATGACAAAATCTATATTGAAAGATGTGTTTGAATTACATATCACATGTACATTGTTGTATTTGGTTAAATTAAATCAATTTTAAGACGTGATACGTATACTTATCCTAATAAGATTTAAGAGTGCCAAACGATAATCATTTTAAGAAATAAAAAAAAGCAATCAAATTTTACATCCGTTTATAATTTAATATAGGGTTTCTTGGTATATTTCCCTAGGAAAATCTTATAGAAGAAGATGAAGGAGAGAAGAAGGAAAAATCACGTTAAAAAAAAAATCGAAAATCGTCGACTTGATAGAAAACAAACACAATTTACACTTCCGAATGCAACACATTTTATCTCTTCCTAGAGCCTACAAATCGCGCGGGGCTGAACCGAGTCAGGTCCACCGTCCGAGCCCGCCCTTCGAGCACGAGCTCCGCCACCGCAGCCCCGGTAGCGGGCCCGTTGAGGATGCCCCAGCAGCTGTGGCCAGTCGCCACGTAGCAACCTTCCAAGCCCGGCAGCTCCCCGATCACAGGGACCTCGTCCTCGGTGCACGGCAAGAAGCAGGCTTGCTCTGCCTTCACGCGCGCCCCGCCCTCTGCCGCCAAGTGAGTCGACACGGCCCGAGCCACCCGCTTCAGCACCTTTATGGATTCCGGGTCCGGCGCGACCTCATCGGGGTCGTCCGGCACCTCCTCCCGGGACGACATCCCACACAAATAGACCTCCCCTAAACAAGTTCAACCATAACTTGAATCATATTAAAAAAGATCTCAAAGATGTCGAATGGCTGGAGAAAAAAGCACATGCAGCGGGTCGACTCGACCCAAAATTTCTCCGGGGAACGGAAGCAATTAATCAACCCCACAAATTGATACATCAATTGGAAGATGGAGTCTACTTTGGTAGCTCAATTTCAAGCTACATAGAGAAAGACAGAGAGAGAGAGAGAGCACTTCCACTTCAGTGTATCAATGCTTGTACTTAGCCACATCATGATTCAGCTAAACATGTAATTGAATAGAACTAGGCATTACTAAATTTAGAAACTTAATTAGACTGAAGCTACAAAAGAATAGCCCCTTCCAATTTATGACATTCACCAGCTATACAGCAAGCAAAGCCATAGCAGAAACTAATAATTGCTTCCTACGACAATGACAGTACCATATGACTGACAGCCTTCGAAATAATTCATCCTGAAAACATGGATTCATTCATACCAGTGGGGCGAGGGTAGACTTCTGGGTCCATGGCCGGGCCGCCGGCGGCGGGCAAGAAGCTCAGGAACAGAGCTTCCGGGCCTATCGCGCCGGGCTCTCTCGGCTCCAAGACGATGCTGTGGGCCTTAAGCCCGTAGACCCCGAACAGCGACGACAGAAGCCCGAACTTACCCGACCACGGCCCGAGCGCCAGCACCACCGCGTCCGCCTCCATGACCCGCCCTCCCTCCAGCACCACCGACGACACCCTCCCCCCGCCGCCGCCGCCGCCGCCGTCGCCCGCGTCGACCCTCGCCGCCTTCCCGATCACCACCTCCAGCCCGTAGTCCCTCACGGCCTTGTCCAGCAGAGCCCGGGTGAAGAGCTGGGGGTGGACCTGGGCTGTGGTGCCCGTCGACCCGATCTCCCTCGCGGCCCGGCCCGGCCCGTCGACCCAGTAGGGCAGGACGCCGTCGCGAGGAGGGGGCCGCTTCCGCTGCTGACCCGACTCCGTTTCCGATTCCTTCACGGTGAGGCTGAGAGTGGTGAGGGCTCGGTAGCCGTAGGCCCGGGGACCGTCGAGCTCCTCGGCGAGCGCGCGGTGGAGGTCGAAGCTGGCGCGGGCGAGGGGGCCCAGGGGGCCGCCGTCGCACCAGTCGAGGGCGAGGAAGCCGCCGGCCTTCCCGGAGGCGGCGCAGGCGACGGAGGACTGCTCGACGAGGGCGACGGAGGCGGCGGCGGAGGACTTGGAGAGGAAGTAGGCGGTGCAGACGCCGATGACGCCGCCGCCGCAGACGACGACGCGCTTCGGCGGGGGAGGAGGGGTTTCCATGGAGGTACGGAGGGCGGCGACGGCGAGGGAGGTTGGGGATCGAGTTCTTGGGCTTGGGCGGGGGAGGGCGAGCGCAGGGGACGACGGCGAGGAGGAGGCCGTTGACATTGGGGAATCGATGATGATAAAGCTAATTGTTCTTCGGGAGGGGCCGTTGTGTTGCTTGGGAGATGACACGTGTCGTTTGGCCCAATTTTGGGAAGTCCGAGGGTGCCATAACCCATTTCCTTTGTTTTTGTTTTTTTTTTTTTGGAAAATGACATGGTTAGTCCCTAAATTTTGGTCCCATGAACTTTTAATTTAATTAATGTGATCTCTGAACTTTAACCCAATGTGTAATGTAGTTCATGGACTTTTCATATTTTTCAATATCGTTCATGAACTTTTGGGTACATTATGTAGTCCTTCGAGTAATTCAAGTTCAAGGACTACATTGAACATGTATAAAAAATTCATGAACTACATTGAACATGTATAAAAAATTCAAGGACCAAATTGAACAAACTAAAATTTTAGAGATTATATTGAATATTAGGTTAAAGTTCAGAAACTACATTGAACAAATTAAAAAAATCAAAGATCACATTACACATTAGGCCAAAATTTAGGGACTGTTTGTGATATTATTCCCTTTTTTATTTTTATTTTTCCGATTGTTCTACAAAATAAGTATATTCATCGATGTGATGGATGGCAAACTATAATAACGTACTGAATATGGTTTTATCAGTAGCTTACTTACAGTAGAGTCGTCCGTCTGCACCAATTTGTAGATGTAGAGAGATGCGAAACAAAATAGCGTTGAGGGAACAAAGTAAAACAAAAGAAACGACGTAGTTTGGAAAGCAGAACTTGATGAGGTAAATTGTGTTTTTTTCTTATCGATTGTTGGGAGTCTCGAGGTTCTTGTCAAGTACAATAGTGAGTCTCGACGAATCCGAAATACCCCGACAGTTGGTCTTGTCTGAGAAAGAAACGATGGTCAGCGTAAGAACGCGCCGAATGAATCATATACCGGTAATTCACCAACTATCCCCCCACTTCACTACAGGGGGAAGCAGATCATAAAAGAAAGAATGGACTAGTCAATGCTAATGTCACAACAGCACAGGCAAAGGAATTCTTCCGGCTTTTAATGGGCAGAGAATTCCACGGTATCAGAGTTGTTAACCGATGGCATCCCCTGATTAATTGGAAATGGTAGGGAACGGAGCAGTGGATGCTCCGGCGATGCTCACTCATCTTTCCTCTTTCCTTTCCCTTCTGAAGCTTTGGACCCTTCATATGCAGAGAGGAAGAAGGTGCTTTGGTTCTTCTGTAGGAACCTGCATTTTGAAGCATGATACAGAAACTGATCTTAAAAGGCATATCCTCATTAGTTGCAAGAAGAATAGCTGAGTTATAATAATGGATCTCGAGCAGATCTCAAAACAATGAAGCATTTGAAAAGATGCGGACACCACTGTTGAAAAGACAAAGGGTATGAATCGGTACTTGAGAAAGTCGAGCAGCTTCTGCTGCAACCGCGTCAAGGTTTCCTCTTCAATGTTCACATGAGCCAATAACTCGGGCAGCTTTACTGAAATCCAGAGATTGCAGCATATTAGGGATTTACTAGACAACCTGATCACTTTTCTGTAATGGAAAATTGAATTATACTTGTAAAAGTCAATAGCCAAGAGATGTTCTCCCCTGAAGTTTAAACAACATTTGACCACAGCCGCTTATATGACAATACCAGACAACAAAGACCAGGGAAAAGCTAATCAGCAACCTCTCATTCATAAGTACCAGTTAGCAGTCTCGCACTCACTTGTAAAGTTAGCCCCCCCAAAAAACACATTTGAATTTAGAAATATTTCAAGCAAGCTCAGGCTATGGTGGTAGTAGTTGAAGTTCTAAAGAACTAAGCTATCGCAATTAGATCATGTAAAACTGCCAACAACATATCTAAAATCTTGAACTTGCATAGAAAAGCATAGTCTCTCTTCGCTCTCTCTCTCTAAACTTCAAAAGCTCCTGAGTAGCCAAAATACATCTTCAATACTTATTCCTGACAATAAGTGGGTATTGACTAAATCCTGTGGTGTGGAAATTGATTTAAGTAGAGAGGCATGTTAAAGGTCCCAAAAAATCAAACCCTATCATTATGAGTACAGCATGCATCATCTCAAGTGTACTAAAATTTGCACAGGATGCGAATGTAGAAAATATTGGAATAATGTTAGTAAAATCTCAAGGAAGGAAAGACTAGTAAAACCGCCTCCACCTCCGTAATTCTTAACTGACCTGCGAGTAAAAGGGCATTGCAACAACCGCAGATTCATGACAGGCATAAGTGAACTTTAACGGATTATGGAATAAAGAACATATGAAAGGATGATACTTGGAGTCAAGCATACGAACCAAAAAGCCTCAGGAGATGTTCAGCACCGTAAATAGTTGATGGAGAGATGTCATCTACAACTGCTTCGCGATACTGTTGGCGCTCCTTTTTGTACAAGAGCATCACGGGCAATGCTATGTCAAAGTAACAACGCAATCCTTTCAAGATTTCTCCTATTAAGTCGGTCATCCTATATCGTCATCACAAGCGAAAGGTGAAAAACTTGGAACTGAAGTTAGGGGTAAAATCATCAGGATGAGAACTGTAAATGAGATCCCATTTGCCTATTTTCCAAAGAATTAACTGAGAATACAATGCACTTTGTCTATAGCTAAGGTAGCAGAGTGTTAGCTAAAACTTGCTACTGGCACAATGTGCTCTGTGAAAAGTTCAAGTAGCAGTGCGCAGCTAAAAAAATTTTACCGGCATGAATATGCTTATTCATAGTGAATATCACTTTCACCTCCCAAAGAACTTATAGAAATTTGAGATCTCAGAGAAATTTGGAAAAGCAGTTTCTCTTAGCTTTCTCTTACACACAGCTAGGTTCCCTTAGATATATTTAGACACATAAAACAAATACTTGTCCAATGACAATGTCACTGTTCCATTTCAACAATACAAATTCAGAGTGCCAGAAATGGATCATAGAGAAGAGAAGTCTGAATAAGAAAAACAACCAAATTACATTCCAAACATTTTCATCCTTCGAATATATCTTATTTGATATCCATCACAAAAGAAACGTGCCAGCACAAGAGAAAGCACTGGATCCAGGAGATAACATTACAAGAACATCCAGTCTATAAATTAAAACATGAGTTGAAAGAAGTACAGTTGAAAGAACCAAAGAGGGATGACTTCAAGTTCTCACGGTGATAGCATCTAATATTTGTGAACATATTTGGCCAATTAATTATGCAGGGTGTGGAAATGTGTATATGTGCACACCCTTGTGCATGCGTGAGCATGTGCAAGCATGCGTGCCTATATGTCAACAAAGACTCATGCACGAGTGGTTGTGCAAACAATAATTATCTCAATGTAAAAGCAAAATTTTCGACAAAGCACCATGGAAGTATAATTCATTTGGACCACTGTAATGCAGTTGATATCATATAAGGACAGTATGTGAACCTACATGCCATCCTTCTTGGACCTGTATTCCAAGTAATTTGTGAAAATATCATCAACACTCGGAGAACGGGGAAGTTTAACAAGCTGCAGGGAAAAAAAGAAAATTCAAATTAATCATATAATTGATAAACCAAAATCAACAAAATCAACAAAACATTCAAAGATGAATAATGAGTAAAATTAGTGAACTTCTTAAATGACATGCTTAAAGCACTATACAATCATCAGATATTTATCCTAAATGCACACAAACTATTCAAGTGATGGGAAAATAAAACTATTGCTCTTGGATACGGTTCAGCATGCATTTAAGGAAAAAAAATTTGATTGTTCATAGTTACCTTATCCCTCTGAGTAACAAATTCCCAGTCATCAACAAGTTGCTTCCTTAATGCTGATGGAATTTGAATCTTGACAGGCTTCTCCACTGATTCATTGTCTTTCTATCAATTGTACAACTACAGTTAGACGATAACTACAAAAGAAAGCATTCTTAAAAAAGTAGCACTGCTGGAATATATGATGATTTCAAAATGAAGCCTATTTCGCTCCCTGTATAGAATAAAGGAGAAGCTTTGATTAGACTATGGATACCTTAACTGCTAATTGTTAGTCCGGGTGATTAAACGAAAAGCCTGAAACTTCTTTAATTGCTGTGCTTTGGGTTGCATTCCAATTTAGTCCTTGTACTTCTCATTGTGCCAATCTAAGTGCCTCTACCTTATCATCTTGCAATATAAGGATATTCACCAGATTGGTAGGGAAATCTGAGATTATGTAGTTTGGCCATTGGCATTCCTACTGTAAATTGTCACATAAAAGAGATAATGATCTGCACTTCGGAGCACAATTTCCTCCAATTACAATCCCCAAATGCACCTTAAGGGCTTTATATTGGATATAAGCAACTGTTACATTTTGACTTAAGAAAATTTTATTTTCTCTGTGTGATCTGTAGGAATGTCAACCGCAAACCATCAACATCTGTGGAAATTGGTTGAACGTCCTTAAATTGGCAAGATGATTAAGTCTATGGACTACAACTGTAAGTACAGGGACAAAAGCGAAAAGGAAAGATTTATGAAATTTACGCTAGTCTTTTTAACTTATCAATTGACTGATAAAGTTAAACTTTGAAAAACGAAGTCAGTCAAGTCCTTTTATTACTTCCTATGATGATAGTGAATCCTAGGGGAGCTTGAGAATTGTATTTGTTTTAAAACTTCTAACAGAGTTGCTCCTGCTTTTTTCGAAAAATGGTTACTGATGGTCGCAATTTGTTCGACAGAATTTCATGGAAAATGCGTAAATCATGTAATTAGTCCAATTCTATACTGCTTTCATAAATGGAGCAATTTCTAAGAAGGTCCACAGAAAACATAAAAACCCTAAATACAACTCTAATTCGCTGATATGACCAACTTATACTTCAATACACCTTTGATTAAACATATGTATATGTGTAGATCATTAAAGTAGAAGTAAAACCTATTCAATAGACTTTGATTATATCATCGTCGTAACATTTTATCAGATCTTGACTAAAACAAGCATAGCTTTAGATAGAATAACTAATCTGATAAAACTTGCTCAAAATGCCTCTTGGATATCGTTTTTATGAGTCAACATTTCCGTCAAGATAATAAAAGACTATTAAGTTCTTTTTAAAACATTTCACTCTTTTCATTCAATTACCTAGTATCTTAAAAGATATTCAAAGAGAGATGGTGTTGGGAACAAAAATGTATCCTTCTCAATATATTCATTCTCCTCCACTCTTAAGGTAACGTTAGTTAATGCAATATAACTAAAGCCAATAATAACACAAGGCCCCCATAATACAATAGTTATGAGCCGAGGGGAGAAAACACGTGTTGCCATTGACCATGGTAGTGTTTGACACATATTACCAACAAAAATCAAACCAGAAGTGAGGATGATGCCATGATACAAACCAGACCTCAACGCCAGCTTCACTCTTTCGCTTCTTGCCTTTCGTCACTGCAACCAATTTATAGATCAGTTGTAACAACTTATTTAGCATAACCCAACATAATTTTCAAACACAAACAAACAAATATCTATTAGCTAAATGAAAGTGTCTTCCACATGACTCTAATAGCAAGTGTACATCTTTTGGAGAACACTTGGGGCTCCACCTTCGCACCCCTAGACTTCTTCTCCTCCACCATTTCCTTTATGAATCAGAAAAGAAAATCACCAAATAATGGGACCCCTATGAGCATAATCTCACATTGGCAAGGGGTGCAGCTGTAGAGTGGGCCTGTGGTTAATAAGGCTCCCAGATGACTCTGGAAACCATACTCCTTTTGGTGAACACTTGCAGCTCTGTCTTTGCAACCCTACTTATTTACCTCTTCCACTATTACCCTTTGCTATACCAAAAGAGGGAAAAAAAAAGACTAAAAGTGTTTTCCATATATGCATCAGTTACTTATCTCCCAAATAGTCAATCCCACAATAGATATTTCTTTCATTTCTAAGTAGAATGAGTTCGGGAGTTCTTCTTAAAGATTAAGAGGAAGAGTTGGCCAGTGAATAAACTATCAGACCTTTCGTACATGAGGGCCATGTAAACCATAACAAACGCAAATAGCAAGGGAGGAGGAACAGGTCTGATAAGTTTAGGTATTGCAAAAAGTCTTATCACAGAAAATTCAAAATTCATAATGCCAAAGAACAAGTTTGATAATTCTAGGTATTAAAAGTTTGATGTCTCAAGCAACTTGAAATTAGACTATTGAAAAAATATCTATTATCTAGAAGAAATAAATTCACCAGAGGTGATTGATAGAGGCAAATTTATCACATTAAAGCACATTCACACTGCCATATGAAACACAAATTCCATCGTTTGTACCCTTCTTTTTATTATATCTCTTTGTGCCAATATCATATGCAAATCCGGGGACAAGAAAAGAATAAACGAGGCCCGTAATGATGCTCCATTAAAACAAACTGTAGTAGTGAAGAAAACAAGTGTAAGAGTTAACAGATACGGAAGCAGAAAAATCGCAGATCAAGTCCACTCTCAACATTCAGCAACCAGAAAGAGAACCGGACAGAAAATGTAATTGCTGGTCAACAGTATTATTCACTATCCCTGAGAGCAATGTAAAGTCCAAGCAACATAGAAACCCGTTGGACATGTACTGCAAGTTGTTGGGCTCAGCTTACAGTCAATAGCAGTTTAATTTACTTTATCATGAAGAAGACCTCATCTCAAAGACCTTTCACTTAACCCAATAGCAAACAACGTGCAAATTGCCAAGATGGACTTGAATTCAGCAGGGAAAAAGACAGTATCAGAGAACAAGAAAACGAAACATACCAGTGCTCTTAACATCCTCCTTATCGACTTTCGCATCTACAAAATTTTGAAAAACACAGTAAGACGTACAGATGGCAAAAGGCAAGCACCGACACACCCGACAATGTTCAGCAACTCGCAAAAATGAGACTTTTGTTATCATAATCACTACCCAATGATTTCAAAAGAAGGTGTTCCCTAAATGAATTCCATGTGCAGATAGAAAGAAATAATTGCTTTCCAATCAGAATGGACTTTTCCAAGCCAAGTCCTGAAACAGTAAATATCCTAGATTTGTGGACAACTGCAATAAGCATAGGACAAAATCTGGAGTCTGGACTGCATCTACCAGGAAAGATCAAGCAGGTCTTGGAGCAGATGCAGCAGTAACGACTATTCTCTATAATTTGTACATACATTTGCATAAATAATTAACTTGGCACTTAAAACAGCATTTATGACAACATTTGTTCCTACCAAGTAAAGCATATTTCCCACAATAACCGCTACAACTCTTCTAGCAAGCGACAGGCCACAGTGGTGCATAATATGAAGGCCTCACTGGTAGAAAGCTATACATGGTGAGGCCCCTGAATTACTAATTTCTTTTTTCAAACTCAAATAGAAAGCGTGTTATAGCCGTTGTACTGCCTTAAAAGACAAGAAAAACCCTGGCTTAATTTTGAAGAATATATTCAGGTAGGATGGGGTTGAGAAGCAAGTTAAAGAAAACCATCCGAAGCATAGTGGGAAAGGGAGAAAGCCAGCCAAGCCTGAAAGTCTCCCGTTTTCCAAAGAGAGAAGGTCCTTTCCCTAAGGATGAAGTCTATAAAAGTTATTTTAATAAGTGATCTAGAATTTTATTAATGGAAGCACTTGCCAACTACGGCCATCTGTTGGCAAAGGATGGGCGAATGTTATGGCATATCAATAGATACAGTTATTTCTCAAAATTCTTCTTGTGCCTCTACGACTTAATCTAAGACCATTCAAGTGCATCCCTCAGTTTTCAAAAAAAAAAAAAAAAAAAGAAAACCCAAAGTTATGTTTCATATGCTAACAAATGTAGGAAATCGAAGATACATCATCAAACGGGGCATCCCTCTGTTCTGGAATGGCTCCCATAAGAGGTCTTATAAAAATCAAGAATTTCCTTCTGACAGTTAGAATTACTAGCAAATTTATCTTGTCCGCTTTTAACAAAAGTTTTTTGGTGACCAAAAACAATTATACAAAAGAACTTTCCTATAAATTTTTACAGCATATTTCCTTCACACGAAAAGTTATTCTAATGCTCATTAATTTGGGTATGGTATTCCCATAGTAATTATGATATCAACATTTGCTCCCTCACGAAACTTTCCAAATGACAACCCAAGACAGACACAATCAAGGCCCTCCCTAATATCCATTTAAGGAGTTGAATTCCATTGCCGCCATTCTTGTCTTGGCCATCTTCAATTTCCCATGGTTGCACCATGGAATCTCTCCTTCATTACTCTTTTTTCTTTTTTTGGTCGGACTCCTTCATTACTCTATTTGTCCATATTCCTTTGCTTATTGATTGAACCCTAACTTGTTGAGATATAAACTATTTGACGCACAGAATTTGCAATAGGTAAGTCTATCACCACATAATACTTTCATGAACATATTGAATCAAATAAAGTTCCAGAATTGTACTTAAAAGTCACTCTAAGATTGCAAATGGGAGCATAAGTGAAATTCCTTGTCAAAATTCTGTGAATTGAGCATGTAGACCTCAAATGGCTAATCTATTTTGCAAACCGCACTAAAAATATCTATCCCAAGAAATAGCTATTGTATTCTTGCTTCCATTTCTCAAATTAATTGAGCTATCAGGTTTAGCTTCTTTCCCACATAAAATTGAGCAATGATACTTAAACATGCATGATGCATATTACATACAATCATGTAGGTCGCCAAAATTTATAAATGTCATAAAATCCCATGAAAACTCATTTCCACCAGATTTAGTTCATGTTCAAATGTTGTGCTGTTTTAAAATTTCTCAAAATACATGTGCCTAAATTATTTCTAGACATAGTGAACATATACGTATTCTTGTAGCCTGCCTTATCTGAGATGGAAATTGAAAGAGGACGATTTCCTTGTGGAAGAAGTAAGCATCTATATGAAAACTAACTAAAAAAATTCACCAAGGTGGTAATTTTGGTCAAAATGTCAACATCAAGAAGAACAAGGTTCTCTTCCACTGACATCACATAAGAATGTGCTTGAACACCAGCAAATACATTGGTATGGTTGCAATATGAAAGTAATCACAGTGTAAAGCAGCATCAAAGCTTGCAAAGTAAAGTTAAATACATTGTGAAGAAACTAACCGGTAATGCTTTTTGGCTTACTCTGAATCATACGACCTGACTTTGGGTTCTTGTCTACGCCTTGTTTCTTATCAAGAACTTGCTGCTTCAAGATATTTTCCTCAGTATATTTCATTAGACGCTCTGGGCCTACCCATTCATCCCAACTGTTGGCAAAGGCAATAGAAATTATTTATACACTACTTTTTTTCTCACTTTAGGTGCCAGGAACTTTATGACTGACATACTAAATGCAATGTGGTAGCATCTCAAACAAGACATTACGAAGGGGAATTGGACACTTGTTACTTCTTCTTTGCCATCGGTTTACAGGATATGCCACAACCAGACTACATGTTTATACACCTTCCTCTGTACAACTTCAAGATTCAAAAAGCAGTCCAATACAGTTCAATCCTATGACAGACACAAAAAATTTCATTGCATCTTCATTTAGGTTTTCAAAACAAAATGGCGATTTGAAAAATGTGGGGAAAGAACTCTGGCTAGGGTGGTGGACAGGACAAGCACGACAGAGCACAATATTTTGCAGGACCCATGTTATTTCAAGTAGAGACCCAAAGGAGAAGAAAATAGAGATCAATGCCTGTTAAAGATAACAGCGATATTTAACTGAAAGCCATGAATCATAAGGAGAGAAATCTGTATTTGCAACAAGAAAAGTAAAAGTATTGGCCATATGCCCACTACAATGACACCTAATGTCTTTGGAAGTCCGAAAGACACATGATGGAGATAATGCAACATTTCCAGTCAATTTCAGCAACAAATTAATGCATCAGATGATTGACACATTCATTTTTTAAGTGAGTCAAAATAATATGACCAGCGGACCAGTTCAAATAATGCAAAGGGAAGGGAGAGACTGCAGATGAAAATATGCTTATTTCCACAACTTTCCATCACCAATCCGCAACGGTCCACTGATTTCAAGCAGACATCATGTTTCATGAGAGTTAGACAGTAGAAAGGGTAGGATATTCACTGTACTGAAGGTGATTGAAAATGCTCACTTTTTGTTCCATCCCTGCAAAGCAGTAAGAGAAACATCATTAGATATGGTTTCGGGTAAATAAAGTCTAGAGATATACTTGATATAATGAATTCCCTCGAGATATTTTTCTTGAAGGATTGACAGCTTTATCAGACGAAAAGCATGCTATAAAGACGACATAAGATTGCTTCAGCTGCTGCAGGTGCAAAAGTAAAAGACAATAAACTACTTACAAGGTAGTGAACAAAGTATCTCCATTCATTCTTCCGAACCTCAGCCTTTTGAACCTAATCATAAAAACCATAAAGCCATTTAACTAGATAGAACAATGAACATGTCACATCAGACACGTCATGTTATATATAATTTGACACAGGAGAAAATGAAAAAAGACAAGCAACTCATTTAGATAAAATGCCATATCCTTTTTCTAATTCTATATCAAACATTTTCAGCCTATACTAAATGCAAAGACAGAAAATTCCAAATCGAACCGCATCATCAGTCATCAAATCAAGTAACAAAATGTCATTGACGGATGTAACTATAAGTACCCCAGCTATTTTTCTGTCAACCATTTACAAATAAGGAAAAGACTAATTCTGGTCAACCATTTGATTCACATATTAAGCAACTGGATGAGATTGTGTTGAAGCAATTGCACATTTTGTATAACATATCAATCCTTACACTTTTTTGTTACTCTCAGTTGATGCTCTTACTTCAAAATAATATGAGAAACCACCAAAAAGACCATTCTCCAACTTTTCTTTCCATCTTTGCAGAGACCAACGAGTGGTTAGAGTAAAGACAACCGATATTGTATATTAAATCATCACCTAGGAAAGAACTAAGCAAATGATATTGATTACCAAAGCAAACTAGGAAGACCCTATGTATGCATGCTTTCTTCCAACATATACACGTTTTACTTTTTACTAAAAGAAAGAGGGGAACTAAATATCTGAACTTCCTTACCAAAAAAAAAACTAAATATCTGAACTATTGCCCGATGAAGAACATTCAACATTAGCCAATACAAATTGCTGACGAAAGTGTAAAACCAAAGTTAAAGTGTACCATTAGACCAAGCAGGCCACATGCATAAACTCCATCACACACTATGCTCGTAAAAACAGTACCCTAACCTAATTGTTTAAAAAAAACAACGAATGAATGACCAAAAGCGATTAACATAAGATGGTGTGAAGCTCCTGCAAACCAGACATATTCATCTTGAGATGGCAACGGCAAATGCGCCGATGGAAAGCATGTGTCGACAAAATAATTTTATAGAGCAATCCAAAATCAAATGGGATACATTCCCGCTAAAAATTGTATTCGAAACGCAGTGAAAGAAAATGATGCAGCAACTTGACCAAATTTTAATCCAAATTGGGAACAAACTCCCATTAAGCATTTTTTTTTCCTACCAAATCCATGTCAAAAGATCTTGATTGTCTGTGTGCACATAGCGTAAGGAACATTCGATAAGCCCGAGCTCATCATCTAGAAGTCATTTACTCAAAGGGTAAGTGTATTGATTACCTACAGCAACGGCAACTTCGCACGCCGACAGAGGAATGATTAAACGAGAAACAGAAAGCATAGAGTACAGCGACACTAAAACCAACAACAGAACACGAAACAGTCCACCAAAGCAGGATTCTACACAGCATCCTATCCTAAAACGCCAATGAGGCCGCATTTCGTCACTTTCTACAAACCCAATGGCCAAACAAAAGAGCCCTCTTAAGCCCCTCTCGTATCACTTTCGAATTCTTATGACACAGCCAATCTCAGGCTGAGCAGAACCTGGGCAGAACGTAACAAGCTCAAAATCACCCAACTACGACGAAACACTATCGATACCAGCAAGCAAGCAAGCGCACGAAGCTGCTCCTTAAGCAACGGAATTACCAAAACACGAGAAGGGTGAAGGAAAAATAAGATAATGGAGAGAGGAGGAGGAAGAGAGAGAGAGAGAGAGAGAGAGAGAGAGAGAGAGAGAGAGAGAGACTATGCCTTGGCCTCGTAGATCCGGGGGCCGTGGAAGGCGAGGACCTTCTCCCCCTCGGAGAAGACAGTGGAGGCGGAGTTGGGAGGGTTGCCGCCGCCGCTCGAATTGTCGCCGTCGCTGCCTGACTCGCCCTTGGATGAGCTCCCCATTTCAGCTTCCTTCGACATAGACGCTCCCGCAGAGAGAGAGAGAGAGAGAGAGAGAGAGAGAGATGAGAACACGTGCTGAGGGCCTATGCAATTGGCGTGGAGCGGAGTTTCAAAAGAAGATTAATTCAATGGTTTTCAATGAAATAATACAAAAAAAATAAATTGAAATAATACTTTTTTAATAACTATAAAAAATTTCATATTAGTTAAAAAAAATTGCTTCAATTTTCAATAATGTGTAATTATCATAATCCTCTCTTAAGTGAAACTCGGATGCTAATGGATTTTGCTAAACAGGGGCAAATAATCCTCTCGCGAGGTGGCGCCTAAGCTTCGTACGGACTCCCTCCCAAACCATACCGATCGCAATAGGGGGTTTCTAAAATTCGCTCGTGATTATATTTACTAGTCGAGTTAAGAGCCAGTAGACTGCGGAATATCGATCGCAATAGGGGGTTTACTTTTGTGACCGATCGCAATAGGGAATTTCTAAAATTTGTTCATGATTATTTTACAGCACTCACTGACCTATTTACTAGGCAAATTAAGAGCCTGGTAGACTTCAATCGGCTTATTTATGTGAATCGGAGTATTGGGTTCTCAGACTTGGTTATGTTAGATTAAACTAAAGGCCTTGGATTGGTAATTTTGGTCCTTTTCAAAGAAAGCTTACAATTTTGAGTGATTTTTATTTCCTAACATGCATCTACATGTCCATGTATTCACGGTACTATCAAACATTTAAAAAGTTACCGAATACAAATAATGATTTTTATTTCCTAACATGCATCTACATGTCCATGGATTCACGGTACTATCAAACATTTAAAAAGTTACCAAATACAAATAATGATTTTTATTTCCTAACATGCTTGAGGAACAGCTGCACAGGAAGAAGAGGAGAAAAAAAAACCCACCTCATAACCTGATTTTAACTCAATTTGGGAAATTTCTTTATCTTTTATCCCATCACAAATTCTACACAAAATTGCCCCCGTTCTAGTCGCCGGAAATGTCGGTTGGTAAACATTTGGCCAGTCGGCAAGATTAGACCCTTATTTGAAAATGATTGGCCACTTAAGGCCTTTATTTGGAATAAAGTTCACTCCAGACCATTTTTTGAAAAAAAACAAATGATTCTATTTCAGGCCATTATTCAAAATTTTCCCTAAATTAAATAGTGAAAAAAGACAGAATATAATAACTAAACCGTCTCGGACAACAATTAAATAAGGCCTTCTTATAACATCTCGGGATAGGACCTCGTAAGTGATAAATGGAAAGTTTTCACAAATACTCATGTAATTTAATATGAGCTGCTATTGAATATGGAAAATTGAAGGCAATTTAATCTAAAATGAATAGCAATCCTAGAAGAACAAATTCATGAGTATACAACAAATTTGCGAATGAACCTAAATATCCCTAAATCCACCTCTAGACATATTTTTGTGATTTTTTTTTAATGAAGATGCAAACTAAAATGACTAACATGCAAGATGGTGATTTTTTATATTTTCCATTTTACTACATGTGATTTATGGATAAAAACGTGCAAATATGGCAACTAAATAATAATGCAAAATCTTAGATATGTCCAAATATGAGCACACTAATATATGCAAATGTGATTTTTTTCTAGATATGTAAATATTCACAATGCAGTTACCTAAACGCAGAATATCAAATAAAATTGAAAATATGATTTCATTAAAAATTCTTTTTAACATGCAAATATGGATATATGATCAATGTCCATACCATAAGCATGGCATGAATGATTTTGATGAAAAGTAATTACGTGCAATGCAAATGTGAAATTAAGTGCGATGACGTGCTCTGAAATATCCCATCAATACGTATTTTCATGAAAATCCTAACATGGACAGAAAAAGTATAACATTACAATACTGCGAAAGAGCTCTCGGATTGGTCAAATGTCTCCAATTCTCAAGTGAACTTAGCTCCTCAAATATGTGACTTGGAGTAAGTTGAGTGACTATGACATCACTTTAATAGATGAGATAAAAGTCTTTTCATTGGAGTCCGTGAGAAAGTCCTTTTTGATCGGAGAATTTATTCAATTCTCGAGGTAAACCTCGTGATCATTGAATTTATCAAGAAGATGACTTTTTCTCGATGAGGCATTCGAATTATGCACGACGACTAATTATAATGGACTTATGAATGTTAATATTTCGTGTACGAACACTTGATTATTTCATCTTGCATTTTCTTTGAATTGAATATGTTGTTTCTTATGAATTTTTGTTTTGTCCAAAGTTACTTTGCTGGATGTTTTCTTAGATCAATCGGGTATCCATAGCAAAAGCAAATTGCATGTTAAGACTTTCACTTGGTGATTCCAAATCCAACCCATCATTTCCAGGTAAGTTTGCATGATGATTATTTCCGTCACATCAGAAGAAATCCTTCAGGATTTTCTGAATTTTGACACTGATGAAAGAACTACTCGGGACTTTACCTTATTGGAAGAACTCTCGGGGGCAATTATTCATTTAAAACAGTTTGCGGGTAACCTAGAGGATAAACTCTCTTGAACCTTTCCTTGGTCGTAAGAACTCCTAAGGTGCTAGCTCTTTGGTTGAAAGAATTACGTTGGTGACGTAAAAGTTAGGTCCCTGGTCGTAAGACCTACAAATGCAACCTCAAATCCTAACAGAAGTTAGGTCCTTGGTCGGAAGAACTGTGAAGACGTTAGGCCATTGGTCCTAAGAACTGCGAAGGCGACATCTCATACGCCGACCAAAGTCAGGTCCCTCGTCGAAAGATCTCCTAAGATGTTAGGTCCCTGGTCGTAAAAAACGGTGAGGGTTGTGTGTGTGTAAGTGTGAGATAATGGGCATAAAAACAAAAGGAAGGAAAAAACAAAAAGAGAGGACGTGAGAATTGGAGCAGAGGAGCCAAAGCAACAAAATAGAAAGAAAACAAGTGTGTGCATTCGGTGGAGCATGGGGTGCGAATTTGGCTGAAGGAATTGGTGGAAGGAGAAGGTTTGTTTGGAGAGCAAAACGTGAAGAATTCAGCCAGCGTTGAAGCTACACCGTGAGTAATTTAAGCGAGTCCTCGTTGTCGTTTTGCTAGTCGAAATTCGCCAATTCTTTGAACCGAAAAAAAGGCCTACATTCGTTGTACCATTGAGGTAAAAATCGGAATTATATATACTCTTGTTTCTCTGTTCGATTCTCTCGTATAAGCCTACCAAGAGTTTACTTTAATTTGCCCAAGTATTTGTCCCTCTATGCATTCATAACCCAAATTGGAAACACGGAGGCATTCGTCTTGAATATGGTTTAATCCGAACCGATTGCCTTTGCTTTTAAATTTTGGTTTAATGTTTTCTCGTGGATATGTTTGAATTGATGTCGTAGCTTGCACCGTTTTAGTCTATTTTAGGGCTCGCGCTATTTTCATCCCTTATTATCTCATGACACCCTTTATCACTTTGATTTGACTATATTATCCCTTGCGGGTCTCACTGTTGATTTAAGATTATTTTTCCTATTCTTCTTCATTTTCTTTTTCAATTTTTCTAGAAATGAAATTACCCATGTTCCTGTTAAAAAACATTTGTTAAGGTTAAATGTAAGGCTCACTCTTGATTTAAGATTATTTCTTCCATTCTTTCTTCTTTTTTTTGATTTTTTCCTTGTCTTTCTCCATTTAGAACAAAATTGGAGTTCCTATTTTCCAAAAAAAAATAGTTTATTTGGTAGATACCTATCGAATTATTGTGTTAATGAGTTGATACTTTTCTTTTTTTGTACTAGGAAACTATTATTTGAAAAATTACCTAAGCATAGGTAAGATTGAAAAGAACCTTTTACCAGTTTTTGTACACATTTTGTTTAATTATAACATTAATATATGTCATTATATTGTAGTCTGTGTATTTTATTTGCTCAACTTTCAATTTATTTGGTGAATCTAGTAGTCCAATAACCATTATTTTTCATGCTATCATTGCATGATGTTTTAAATGATACTTTAAAACAAATATATAAATATGACAAAGTTAAGCACATAAAAAATTCTAAACATCCATTAAAACCATGCAAATGCGAAAGAAAATGCTCCCTCAACATTATTACATAGAACACTATCTTTGCCTTGATCACATGTATAATTAGCTATTGATAAGAAACTATAGCAATTGTAATCGCTTTAACACATTCAAACCATTTGCAAACACATATCTTTTGTCTATTCTAAATGCATCAAATTTTTCATAAAACCATCAATGAAAAGAAAATCATCCTTAAAGTACTGCAATAATAACAAGTTGAATATGCAAGTTGATAAAAAAAAATATTTTACACTAATCAAAGAATAAAAATTTTCAATTACATGAATAAGAGAGTCATTAGGGACTTAAAACAAATATATATCAAGGAATAATTTTGAATGCCATAGTGTGAGAAGCTCCGACCTTTGAATATGTCTTTCAAGTTAAATTGTTGCATGCTCGAGTCCTTTGTTCCTACTATATTTCACCACCATAAATTCCAATGGCCTTTTAATGTGAGTTTGATCCGAGATCTTTACCTTTCGATTTACGTATCCGACTATTATAGCCACAAATCTTACAAGTAGCACATCTTTTCCCTTTTCAACAATCTCAAATGCAGAAGGATCGCGTCGTATAAAAGTTGCTTCTGCTTTAGTTTTAGAATTAGAAGGACGATCTTTATGAAATGTAGCTAAGGGCTCATATAACAAAGGATCACTTGCTCGTACAAATTGCTCAATTTGCTTTCGAACAACTTCTTGGAAAGTGGCCATACTTAGAACTTCCTTTCCAACTCGTGCAGTAGTTGTGAAAATGAATCTTCTTCGTTATTTTACATAATATTACGATCGAAAATGGACCTTATATCAAGCCTCCTTTGTTGATCAATTATATCTAAAGGTAAACCATCGGAAAACCTAAATCTTATTTCATGCTCACATGGAAGGCCCATGGATTGCATAAAATGCCCGGTATGAGCAAGTAGCTCAACTCTACTTTTACTAATCTTATATTGCTTATAGAGCTTATCTAAAGCAAATATTGACACCCGAGTAA